TTACCAACCTTTGGGTATCAAACCAGACGCTATGCAGGCTAAACCACCAAAGAATAAAGTAGAGACCAGTAGTTTTCGTCGTCCAGTTTTATCAAGAATGATCGAAGAAAGTACTACAATTGGCAAATCTGCGGCGCCCAATAAGGCGAAGTTCAGGTAAATATTGCCTCCCAATCCCTGAGCATTTAAGGCAAGTCCGTAGTAGGCCACAGCGAATGAAAGTCTAAAACATAATCGTTCCTCTTTTGTTAATTGTAAACACATTGTAAAATATACACTATAAATATATACGTTTCAACCTTCTATTGTGTATCAACACGCAAACATCTTTAACTTTTGTGGCTAGAAGTGAACATAAGCACCGTAGAGCAGTTTAAAATATTCTACAGATTAACGAAGAAAAATTATCAAAGGCAATATAATACTATTATATACAAAATATTAATGTAAAACTGCTCAGCCAAAAATAAAGGTCAGTTACGATAATTCAATACAATTAATACTAATTTTTTTTGCCTTTTTAAAGATATCCATTCTGTTTCTGTCAGACTAATAAACATCGCAGAAAAAGCGAACATTATGTCCATAAAAATTTCTTACCTGCAAAACGCAAGCTTAAAAGTCAGAACAGTTCTCTTCCAGGTCCTGAACAGATCCAGCTGAGAGTGTGTTTTTGTTTGTTTTTCCTCATCTCCCTCTTTTAAAAGCCGTTCCCATGTATCTTCTTCTAATTTAACCTTGTTTACTCGTGCTGCTTTAGTGATTATTCTTTTAGCCTCTTTGTGTCTGCCTCGTGATAGCAACCATCTCACCGACTCGTTGAAAACACTGGTGTGCAAAAAAATAATAAATAAATAAATAAATAAATAAATAAATTGGTAATAAGAATAAAATAAAATGCACTTTAGCTTCACTGCAGGAATTGGATTCTTCCGTTTTAATTATGCATTAAGATAATAATATAAGTCTAACTAAATTTTTTGCCAAAGTACTGATATAAATGTTCCAACCAAGCCATACTTACAAATAGAAGAATATAATAATAACAGCGGGTGAGCAAGCTACCAAAGCCAGATAGCGCCAATTTCTGAGGAAATATGCCTCAAGTGCCAGAAGCGTGTGTCCTAAGCCAAAGGATATTGCCATGCCCATTCCTATTAATTTTCTGTACTTTGTTCCCACCAGTTCCATACCTAGTGGTGCGAAAGGGACGTAATCATTCGCACGTAATCCACTTTTAGATTCATATGCAGTTTGTCAATTGATTTTTACCTTTAAATGACGATACATTTTAAAAGAAATTTTGGTCATCATGGACAACATAGGCCCGGGTCCTCTAGTTAGTAATACGACCTGCACTTTAATAAGAGATAAATAAGAGATAAATAAGATGTGTCACAGTTTAGAAAACGAAATAACTCCCCTTACTTACCCATTGTATAAAGTGATATGTACATACTGGAATCACTGGCACCTTGAATAACATAGAGAATACAGAAAACCGCCATATTTGGAGAAAACGCTAACCCAATCCCAGAGGCTGCCAATACTACAACACTTCCCAGGAAAATAGGCCTACGTCCAAACCTGAAAAACTGTGTATTTTATTTCTCGTGGCAAAACTTCCGCTCAAGCACAGGGTAGTTTAGACCGGGAAATCTAACTTAATGCGCCCTTGGCACCACATCGGTAAACGGGAATACAGCAACCGAATGCAAAAACCCAACTGTATTGGAGTAAGGTTATCACAGAATGACATATTTCATTCATGAGATAATCAAAGGTGTGAATGCAGCGCTAGATTATATTGACCATGCTATAAAATTATACGTGGCGTGGTTGATATAATATCAATGCATTTGAACTAAACGTGTTTTTTACAGAAAGTTCTTGCAATTATTTCTTTGGCGTTTATTTATGAAAAGATTTATGATCTAAAAACCCGATCATGCGACACATGCACAGAAAACTCAACTTCTGCAATTATTGATCATCATTTCAAGTGACAAAGAAGTGCAAAATGCCCACCCCAGTTAAAAAGGTGTTTTTCAAATATGTGCTTTCTTAGCAGTTGAAGAAATGTCCACTATTCGGAATAACATGTACAATGTATTATGTTACCTGTCTGACAGAATCCCTGACACCAAAATTGCCACCAGTTTACCACCAAAGAAAACGGAACTGCACGTGCTCAGCTGCCACGCGTTGTCGCACGTGAGGTCAAACTGAAAATTTCACGTGGAAAAAAATGGGCATAAGAGAATAAATGAACTGAAACCTTTTGGGAGAATAATTTAACAGTAGGAAACTTCTAATTCACTGTGACATGAACGCGCGTTTGAATTACATTTGGTATATCGATCGAAGGGCTTTAATTATCTTGGTCTTTGCGTTATAAACAAGATTGTTTGGTGACGTTTCTCTAGTTATTGCTAATGTACGAGATGAAAATGAAAAGGGGCATTTAATAATTTCTTAATTGAAATGATGAAAATGAATAAACAGGTGTGACAACGTCACGGTACACTTTGAATAGGTAAACGTTATGTCTTTGTGGCAATATTTACCTCGGAAACAATGGTGGCCTGATACTCGTCCGTACTGTAGTATCTGCCAACAGGACATGGGTACGTCTCCTGTGATTTCCAAACAGTGCTATTCCACAGACTATCCGAGGAGGTTGTCAAATTCAGCGTCTGCACATACTCAACATCAATCTCTAAAGAGGTAGTCATAAGGCGCTGCAATATTCCGGAAGTGGATGAATTTGCCGAAGTTATATTTTGAAACACGGGAATAGAGCCGTTAGTTAACGCTATATCCATGCGGTATAATGCACAGCCATTTCGCTTGCCGTATTTCGTATAAGGCACGTTCATGTCTAGAAGTTGCTCTTTTGACACATTCCCATACGTTCTTGATACATACTCTAAACGTTCCTGGGGTATGTTACAATGATGAAAGGGCTCTGCGCCGTAGAAGACCACCCCCAGTGTAGATATCACAGAGTAAAAAGCGACGACGCATATTAGAGCACATCTTTGCTTTTGATAGATTCCGAATTCTCCCAAAATCTTCAAGAAATCGTCGAAGTTCATCTTCGTTGAAGCACAGTCGCGCGCGCTTTTGAATAAGGACTGTGAAAAATCCCAGTTTGAAAATGTACCAAATCAACTACGGCCAGGCGCAGAGATTGTGATCCCAGTTGAACTCGTTAGGCCTGAGGGTATTCAAGTCTAAACCTTCACCTTGATTTATATCACAGTGGGAACCTCCTGGAGACAAAGAAATGTCACAGTAATTGAATATCGATTTTTTCTGTATGGCTCTCTTAAGGACTACCCATAGATATGAGTTCTAATGAGCTTTTGTTACTGCCTTGTTTCTTTAATACGATGCCAGGTGGTAGATATTTAGATAAAAAATATTTAAATTAGGTGTCAGCGTAGGAAAGAATTCCGAAATCCTTAAAAAATTAACCAAGTGAAAATATTATCAAAACACTCGCATTTCTATGCCCTTGAACTTCGCAACAAAACATGTTTGTTTCTTACTATATTTTAATATATTTAAGTATAATTAAAATTACAACAAAGCACAGATATGAATCTGCAGATACGACAAACCTCCCAGGTAGATACTACCACTACAGTGCCCAGTTTATGAACAGCAACATCTCACTGCAGTCTGGATCATCTTGCACGACTTGAACTGTCACCCACGTCGGATTGGCATACGCACATGTACATGACGGCGCGTCACACAGATTCTGTAATGTAAATCACGTGACATCTGAAGAAAAAACTGACAGTAAGAGCAGGGGCCTGTTTTACATTAGGTCTTAAGTCTGTTCTGGGGTTAAGACCTCATCTCACATGTATAAAAACTAAGCGAAATGGTTCCGCCTCACAAAGAATCTGAAAATTAAAGCCCGCTCACCTCGCTTTTTACGGCCTTTTAACAAAGCCCCTTATTAGCAAATCGGTGTTTATCTCAGCGGCAATACATGTTACATTGTCGTAGATTCTTTAATTAATAGTTTTTATTTCATGAAAACTATTTTTTGTGAAACAGACACTGGGTGCCAAGTTAATTGGTGTCTGTTTCACAAAAATAGTTTTCATGAAATAAAAACTATTAATTAAAGAATCTACGACATTGTAACATGTATTGCCGCTGAGATAAACACCGATTTGCTAATAAGGGGCTTTGTTAAAAAAATATTTTTTGTGAAACAGACACTGGGTGCCAAGTTAATTGGTGTCTGTTTCACAAAAATAGTTTTCATGAAATAAAAACTATTAATTAAAGAATCTACTACATTGTTACATGTACATGTACCTGCTTTATGACCGCACTGTACAACCTTAGTGTAATCCATGCGACTATGTCAATTTAAAGGGTGATATACAGCCGTCAATACCACTGCAACGGAGAAATAAACGAGAACGTATAACGCCAAGCAAGTCCACTTACATCTATGCATCAACAACAGCAAAACCACATAGCCAAACGTACTGCATGTCTTAAAAGACAATTTTGTGAAAGGAGGCATCTAAAACCTCGGCCTTAAAGACAAGTACCCGCTTGATTGATCGAGTTAATGGCCTAAAAACAGAAATAAGGTCATTGAGGTAAGTTATTTTTTACTGTGATACGGCTAGTTTGACCTTTACGACACCTTGTTGTTTAGTCATCTCTGGGTCATCTGCGATAACATGAACGCAAACATTCTCAATTCCGATCAAGTGTACTGTTTCCTGTGCTTTTTTTCTCCAGCGTGACAGCAAAGAATCGTGTCATGAGAGATATCCGTGAATTTCGAGTGAAAAATCAGTCTTAAAAAAGAACAATAATAACATTAATTAATTAATTAAAACACAACAAAGGAAAAAAACAGGGGACATTTTGCAACTGGTCGAGCAGAAAAAAAGGGGCTAGATGTTCATTAAGACATCTACCAGCCCAAATATGTATTTTAGTATATTGAGACTTAAAATACACGTAGATTACCTCTGATCAAGCCTTTAGACCATTTTTTAAAAATCATGTGTTTGTGTAACTACGTTTTACTTGGTGCTTAGTACATACTTACTCTGCGTGTGCTACGGCAGGGCTACTGTACCTCAAATCATTGACAAAATAATTTTGTCCATAATTCTCAAATTACATCATAAACAGCAAGTGGGGTTAGCCTCGTCGGGTAAGCTTATAAACAGCAAGTGGGGTTAGCCTCGTCTGGTAAGCTCATAAACAGCAAGCGGGGTTAGCCTCCCCTTGCGTTCCCGTCTAAACTTACGCAATAGCCAAACTAACATACATGTATATGTACCAGTACAGCCAACATACATGTAGAAACAGAAATGCAAATCCGGAAAACTCTTTACGTTAGTTTGTCTTTTTCTCTTGTGAAAATGAAATTATCTTTGAATACCCATTTAGTTTATTCAGAAAGCATGCGTGCGTAAGTGTTATCACATCCTGTAGTTAAAAACTGGACGAAATATTTCATCTAACGACATGCCACACGTGATGACGGTCCAGAGTTTAATAGAACTCATTACGTCTTGTGGTACGTTTAGATATACTCAAATGATGATGCTTAGGTCTAAATGATGTCAATGTGCTTCCATATGAAGTTAGCCATAGATAGTGGAAACACGCAATAAACCTGTACTCCGCTGCGTTGACTATTTCGACAATACAGTTTTAAAAAGGTAGGCCGTTTATTGTCCCACAGCCGCATTTTTTTACTCAGATTCGTGGTACTTCTTGGATAATATCCTCGTTCGGTGCTTCAGTTTTGACCTAGATCAGTTCTATTCTAATTCTCTGTTTGAACGCCTCTCAAAACAGCGAGACTGTATATAGATGAAATGTACACAAGGCAGATGTTAATATCCTGTACATCGACCTATTTAAGCTGTTATGCAAAAGCACGGTAATCGTGCAGTGGCTGAATAACAGAATAACAGTCTCGCATAGAGCAGAGAACGTGTGAGGTGTACGCATTACAGGACACAGGTTGGTTTTCTGCACATGTTCAATGTGAACAGTTTGTTTGGTTTCATTCATATGGTTTATTTAATATCGGCAGTGCACATGCGACGTTGCTTCAGTTAGTTGGAATTATATAACGGAATGAATGAGGGTCTTGTTTACTTTAAGAGAGTTAAGCCCGTGTTAAGTTTGTGCTGTTTGAAGTTTTCTAGTTTTTGAAGAGGAACTAACAGAGAAAGTTGCTCTGATAAGCATGCCCTGTTCTTGATCCGAGACTAAATGTAACAAGGACATGTTTATTTACATTAAATCATTCATTTACGTGCCATGTGATGGAATTCAAACACGAGTTACGAAGTACGGGTATTTCATTTCATAGCTCCCACGATATCATAATCTAGCTGATATGCATTTCGACGAGTTTCTAAAGATCCTTGGACAATTTGGGACCTACCAGAAGCAGAGGTATACCCTCATCTGCCTTGTAGCCTTGTACTCTGTAGTCTCAATGTTTGGAATTGTATTCTACGGTGTAGTACCTCAGCATCACTGCAAGATTCCCCAGCACCACGTGGAACATGTAAACAGCACAATCGGCACCGTGACGTCAGAAACCCTGCTTCGTATCACTGTGCCGCACAACGAAGATGGCAAACCCAGCAGCTGTAGCCTATATTCTTTAAATGACTTGTTTTTGAATAGAACAGGTTTTGAAAATGATGTCGTGCCATTCAATAAAACAGCTTTTGTTCAGTACCATATATCTGCCGCAAACGTTGCGTACAAACTTAATCAAACACCTGATGATGTGAATCGTTATCGTTGGTCAAACAAATCCGTTCAAACAATGGAATCAAGGGATGGTGGTGAAATTCTTCAAAGTGACAGAAGAAGAACCCAACCCTGCCCAGAAGGACGAGTGTACAGCACAGACGTCTACCAGTCCACAATAGTATCTGAGGTATGTATAAATAGACAGAAACACCAAATCCACCTACCTTTAACAGTTCTTCACTTGGACAGACCCACATTTCTGCATGAAAACCCCAGTATCAGATCCGTAAGCATGTGAGGGTCATTACAAAGATGCGTTTTGCAGGGGAAAAAACCAGCCATCGTGAAAAATTGGACATACAATGCACGTAAAAAGTTCCCATCTTCACTACAAAAGTGATTCAAAAACGACAAACAGAATAAAGAAAGGGTTTATAGTCCGTTATTGTGTCAACGGAATTGGGTGAGTGATGATGTTTTCAGAAACATCTCTTTTTGCTAGCTACTTCCTCTTTTCAGTTCGATTTGAGCTGTGAGAATAAATGGCAGCTAAGAACAACAACCTCTGTATTCTTTGCTGGGAAACTGGCTGCAACGTTACTGTCTGGGATGGCGGCTGACAGGTGAGTATGTATCTCGCTGCAGTACCGTCGCTTAAAATTTCTGAAGTCATGCTTACCTATGACCGGTAAAGGCTGCGACTGGTTCATGCTGTACATAATATCATACAGTTTGAGAGGTAGACAACTAAATAACCTGGCTATCACGTAAGACAGCCACAGAGCCCCCGCGCTCATCCTGATTTATTTTGATTGGTACATAAGAGCTTGTGAAAGAAAAAACTCTTCATTTCCAGTAGCGTAATTCTTTTGTGTCACGTTCCAGGTTTGGCAGGCGTCCGGTGTTCTTAGTGGGAATGATTCTGCTAGCATTGTCAGGTGTGGCACTAGCGTTCTCCCCTAACATGATCGTCTTTACGGTGCTGTATGTGATACAAGGGGCAAGCGATGCCTGTGTATTCCAGTCCATCTACACTCTTGGTAAACGACGTTTTTTTCACTTTGCCTTTACTTTTATTTTAGGACTTGTAATTACATTTGAACGATATAAGATGGGCACAGTTTTCAGGGCCGTAGCCTGAGCAAAATGTCAGGGGGGCAGTAAGCGGACACGAGGGGGCGAAGCCCCCGAGTGGGGAAGGGTGTGGTCGGGGGTGTCCCCCTCCCACGGTGTGGAAATTTTTGAAAAAATTGTATGTATAATACTGCATTCTGGTGCATTTTAACTGTTATTTACTGCTCAATCGGAAGTCAGAAATTGTGGGTTCATTTTGCCATAAGTACAGTCATAAGTACAGCCCCGGAGGCTACGGCCCTGGTTTTGTATAAAGAAAGTATACATGTAGTCTACTTTTGGAGAAGGAATTAATACCAGGGAGAGTGGGCCAAAAAGCGCACTCTCACGTCTGCAGAAGCATATTTTGTGCACATACTAGTACTAGTACTGTCAAATCCTCCAAACTGCAGCATTTAACCTCCGCCAAGTAGGTGCTAGTTTGCCTTTGTTGGTTTCATGCATGTTATCCTGAATCCGCCATCAACTTAAATCTCTTCACATCTGTTTTGATTTTTTCAGGTATGGAATGGGTGGGCCCGAAGAAGAGACGAATTGCAGGGATGGGGATCAGCATCTGTTTTGGACTCGGTCATTCTTTTTTGGCATTGGAGGCGTACTTTCTCCGTAATTGGCGCCATCTAGCGCTGGTGGCAAGTGCTCCGGGAGTACTATTCATAGCATTCTGGTTGTACGTAACAGTTAACAGTGACAATATATAGCTATATTTTTTCAATCGATATTAAGGTAGCATGGAATAGGATAAGTTAAGATAAAAACTGGTTTTGAGAAAAAGAGCTAAGGGCAAAATCCACGGTTGGCTACAGCTTTTTAAAAAAACTTTTTTCATACAAACAATAAAACTTTATTTAACCCTCAGTTACAATACGTATTCAAGGTATTTTCATAGCTAGCACATGCATTTTCTTACCATTATTGGAAAATGGTAATCCAAATGCTAGTAAAATGTACAGAAAAGACTTGTAAAAGTAGTTGTCATTTTCAGCTTCTTCGGGGAATCTGTACGCTGGCTTCTTGCACGTGGGCGTTATGAAGACGCTAAGGTTATCATAGCCAAAGTAGCCAAGACAAATAAAGTTGAATTGGAAGACAGTGTGTGGGAGAGTTTGTTCAAGGAGAAGAGCGAAGTGAAGCAGACGACACACACTTTTATTGATTTGTTTCGAACCTGGAGGAGAGCGGTCATGACAACTACCCTTGTTTTCGTTTGGTGAGAAATAAAACGTTGATGATAAATATATATTCAATGTTGAACATTACAAAATGCGTGACATAAATACGCGTTCTTCTAAAAGATTGTTGACTTATCAGTAGCAAATTTGTGACAAAATATAAAATTTTATTATCTCTAAAAATTTCACCCAGGTTTCATTTATGTCAAACATCTATGTGGTGTTGGGAGCAAATATCATGAGACGTCAGTGAACGTCGGTCAACAACAGCCCTTCACAAGATACATTATATCTGACGATCGTAATCTTGCGTTAGACCTCGAGAGTTCCTATCAATGTACACCGCTGTTATTTGTTTATTTCAGGTTTAGCAGTAATATAGGTTACTCTGGCTTAGCGTTAAACGCCGAGGGGTTGGGTGCCAATGTATACCTTAATTTTGCTTTGCTTGGCGCCGCAGACGTTCCAGGGATGGTGCTGTCTATGTTTCTTCTAGACAAAATTGGAAGGAGGAAAATAATATTTTTTTCTATGTGTGTTGGTGGAGTTGCTTGCGTATTGACCGGAGTTATCCCTAAAGGTGAAACATTTCATTAATATATGCACGAGCTACATTTAGGAATGGAATAGTTCTATGAAATGGCAGCACACAAAAGTCAACATTTTTGTATGCATACGTGTTTTTAATTAATGATTATATAAGAATGCTTTACCCAGTTACTGATTACACGGAATCAAAAGATATAGATTTAACCAAAAAATACCCTCTGAGTACCCGAGTATGAATAATTCATTGTGACCAACAGAGAAATAACAAATACCAGATTCTCCAATATGACAACATTCCTTTATGATAGAATCTTTGTACTTTTTAGATATGCATTGGTTGGTAGTCACATTGGCACTCATTGGTAAAATGATGATAGGAGGCGGGGGAGCTGTAATCTGCATGCTAGCGGCTGAGTCTTACCCAACTGTTATTAGGTCTGTCTGCCTCTCTGACAATGTGGCTCTCTGCCACAATTTATCCATTTCTTTCTCACAAGAAAATGGCGAATACTGTATATAAGCTTGTCGTTTGTACATTTTTTTCTTATAGGGTATATAACAAAAGAGCTCTCTACGTTTTCTTAGAATTTCAGCTGGAAGTGTTTGCTTCACGCGCAGTAAGGGAGACATACATGTGTGTACTTATCAGGGCCGTAGCCTCGGGGGGGGGGGGGGGGGGGGCAGGGGGGCAGCTGCCCCCCCTGGGATTTGGGGTTCAAAAAAAATCGCAATTTCTGACTTCTAATTGAGCAATAAATAACAGTTAAAATGCACCAGAATGCAGTATTATACATAGTTTTTAAAAAAATTCCACACCGTAGGAGGGGGACCTCCCACACCCTCCCACCTGGGGGGCTTCGCCCCCTCTTGTCCGCGTACTGCCCCCCCTGGCATTTTGCTCAGGCTACGGCCCTGCTTATACAAATTATGCGCACTTTTCAAAGCTGTTGAAAATTATAGTATAATCCTGCATACAGATGAATCACGAATGATAACACACGTGTTCTTTTCAGAAACGTGAGCCTTAGCTTCGCCGCCTCGATGGCGCGTCTGGGAGGAGTTGTCGCACCTCAAATCTTGCTTCTAAGTCAATTCTTCAAGCCTCTTCCATCTGTCGTTTGGGGTTGTACGGCCATATCTGCCGGAGTGATGTCATTATTTTTGAGGGAGACATTAGGGAAGCCGTTGCCTCAAACAATGGAGGAACTGGACGTTATGCTTGCAGAAAGGAGGTAAAATTTACACCGTTTTGCATTTTTTGTTATTGTCGTTTTAAATGTATGACAGTCTTTGCGCTGAATGGCATTCGTTTACTTCGAATCTTTCATAATCAACACACCAAATACGATTTAATAAGCGAAATTTAATATTGACAAAAAAGAAAGAAAGGAAAGAAAAAACGGCTCTTAAAGAAGATAAAATATTTATTGGTTTTCTAACGTTGTTAAAGCATGACAACAGGTGTCATTTTTATTAATAACAATAAACACGTTTTAAATTCAACAGCATGAAGTTCTGGAAAAAGGTACCACAAAGCGACGAAGCGGCAAAGGAGACAGAAATGCAAGCCATGGATGCCTGATGTCCAGTGTAATTTAAATCTCTTCAAATTGTTATATCGACTTCACTCAAGTTTATCTATATAATTTTATACAAGCAAGCCGCAAATTTTAATTTTAATTTGACTTAAAAGTTAGGATTAAATTTTGTTCTCATGTTTTTGCTACTCGTTTTTGCTACTCGCACATGGAAGGTGCTGAAGGCGCAAGTGCTCGTTTACGCTCAATGCTAACAGACAAGCACAGTGGTATAGGCTAGCTGTCTTAATATAGTCATGTCTTCCCTTGACACGTCTCCCACTTCAAAACATCGTGACATCGCCAGAGACTGGGCAGATAAACCAGTATTACATTAGTCCATTTTTGATAACGTTATGAAGAGGGTATTTCCCCTGGCCACATCCGGCACCACTAAAGTCATCCAAGGCGTAATCCCACGTGAAGGCGCCAGCATAACCTTGGGCTTTTATCCATTCCACCTAAAACGGAGCGCTTTTATCTATATGTGTCTAACGATGGAAAAGCGACTAGTTTATCACTAATCATCACATTTAAATGTGTGCAAGAATTACTGGCGTTTTTCACACCACTGATTGACAGTGCTCTACCACTAGTTCTCGTCCTTTGAAATATGAAATGTGCTTTTTTTCATTTTCAATGTTTTTTTTTTTTTTTTTTTTTTTTTTTTTTT